TATATTTTATATGACTAAGGTATGGACATGGATCGTGAAGTGTTCAGTTCTTGGGATACAAAGGTGTTGAAGTGTTTTCGCAAAAACTCATCGAGAACGATTGAATATGACGAACGACGTATAGGATTTCTACTTTAAATACAGTTCATCTCCATTGAATATTCATCACCTGATCAGGAAGTCATTCTACACGTTTTATTCAGTGATGTGTTACACAGCTCTACGACGGGTTGTGTTAGTTTCTTCTTCCATCATATTTGTTACGCCAAGTCAAAATTTTTTTAATAATCAATCTTGAATTTTTTTTAAAATTTTGTTAAAAAGCGCATAAACTTTATATGAGCTGAATCAAACTGTTCCCTCACTTTGGATAGCAGAGTATCACAAATACATTTTATGACTATATATAATGCTTTGATGAGTCGTACGTCGTACTTCTCAGTTTCTTTCTAGTAACGTAGCTGAAAAGAAATAGTTATTTCAGGTAGAAATTAAAAAACAACAATTTTTTCCATAATGTAGGCGCATACCTAGAGTTTTGATTTACATATTTTTGAAGATCAAATAATCGGATAGGTGACGTCCCCCATTTTTTCCATACAAGGAGTGAATCGATTTCTTGCGTTTGTAGTGACTATCCTAATGCCAGAATAGCAGGCGTGAAGTTGGCAATTTCTTCCTGGATGTTTGGTCTTCAAATTTTGGGGTTGTGACTTCCGAAAACGGAAGTCACAACGTTTCTCATTGCTGATTTCAGATACTGAATATACGAGGGGTTACTTTCCATGAAGCAAAAATTCCTGTGGAAGTCACTTAGACCCCTCTGTATCTGCAACTCCCGATTTTAGTTCCCGCGTATATAGTTGACGCTGTCATCGCACAAAAATATGTGCGAGCAATGCACTATAACCTCCGCATTGTTGATACTACGTAGTCACTTCCAAGTGTTGTTACCATTTCGCGCCATATAATCAGTTGTGAAGTTGAAGAACAAAAACCCTCTAGTTTAATAACTTCATATGTGAGAATGATGGCATCCAGAGGTAAAATCATGCTAGAAATGGCAAAGTCTTAAGATAAGTGCAAACAATATAATATTATTTCAATAATGATTGGACAAACCATTCATGATAAGATTCTCCTGTAACCTCGTACGTAAAATCAACAGGAACATGTACGATTTAGCAGGGAACGAATAATTTTGGTATTACATTTTTATTCTAAGTTTAATGTGTACTCATAGTAGGCGGCTCGGTGGTCGAGAGCGTTAAGGCGCTGAGTTTGTATGGGGACTCCCACCGAGACCTAGGTTCGAATCCTATTTAGGCAATGGATGTTTGTGTTTGTATGTATATCTAACCCCGCACAAGTTTCGACTTATGGGGCGTTTGGTCCCAGTGCTGGGACTAACGAGGTATGCAATTGCAATTGCAATTGCGAAGTATTTCTGATAAAGAGAATACAGGAATATTTCAACACGGATTCGAATATCCTCTACATCTACACCATTTGATCAAATGAATACTCACATCGAGGGGTATCCCACATAATATTGGCCACCCCCTAATCTGGTGAACTAGAATAGATACGAAAAGATATTGGGAATCAAAGTTGTTCACAGTCATATGAACATGATCTTTCAGATAATTTCGACTATACAGGATGATCCAAATGCCTGTGACGTAGCAAACATACGTTCTTCCAAATGGAATACCCCATACACATTTCATCATATTTTTAAATAGACCTCAAAAAAAGAGTTCAAGAGATCTGAATTCTGATCGACAAAAGAGAAAATACACAGAATTTGTTGATTCATAAAGAAAACCGCTCCTAGAAAACTCAATCCATAACGTTTTCAGCGGGTTTCGAAATTTGACTACTCAAGAAGACCATGTATAAGTCCGAAATAGGTTATCTCAGACTCACGTTCTATATTATTGAATTCGTCTTTGTGTGCTCTATCCAAGGATGAAATGAAATAGAGAAGGTTCTACTTCCGAGAAAATGATCGGTTTGCAAAATACGCCATCGCTTTTGGAGAATTCAAAATTTCCAAAGTTTGACCAATGATCAAGATAACATACAGAAATTAATCTTTTCCTTCCATCCTTTTATCCCCTTATCCATGGAGCCTTTCATCCTTCTTACCTTTCATCCTTTTCCCCTTTTTCTTTGCTTTTATACTTTTACCCTTTCATCCATCCATTTCTTCATCCATTCATCTTTCTATCCTTCTATTCTTGTATCCTTCTATCCTTTTATCCTTCCACCCATTTAATCTTTCATCCTTCTATACTCATATCCTTTTATCATTTATTCTATCCTTCTATCCTTTTATCCTTTTATCCTTCCACCTTTTCATCCTTCTATACTCTTATCCTTTTATCATTTCATCCTTTTACCCTTTTTTCTTTATCCTTTTATCCTTTTATCTTTTTATCCTTTCATCCTTCCATCCTTCAATCCTTCAATCCTTGATCCTCCGATCCTTTAATCCCTTTATCATTTTATCCTTCTATCCTTCCATCCTTTTATATTTTTATCATTTCATCCCTTTATCCTTCCATCCTTTCAATACTTTTCATCCTTTCATACTTTTATCCTTTTATTCTTTTTGGACATATATTTATACGAACTTTTCTTCTCATTTTCACTTCTGCAACATGCTCCTGAATTTTCTACACGTACTTAAGAAACATTCTGTTATAACTCAATAGCTATCTTAGTTAATATGCTGTCCTTACAAAAACGTTCAAATGAGCAAATATAGTAGATTTTATGTAGGCATCGAGAATTCAGTACTAGAGGAGATGTGCAAAAACATCGTCAACTCAAAACTTTCCATAAAACAGGTATTTTTCAGATGGATCATCCTATATTCCATTTTCCTCATCGCTAGATTGTGAGATTGTAGGGGGGTCGTATAGACTGCGGGAGACCTCTCAATCACTGCGACCTAGAAGATCTTATCTAGTTTTTGTCCTGCTGTAACCCTAAAGATTTCTAAAGCAGCCTAGAAATTTCATGACGGTTGTATTTTCCACCGCAGCAGTCGACAGATAAGACATGTCCTTGGTGATTGCATAGATTCTATGGTGACTCATTCTTTGGCGGACTCGGTAGAATTATTTTTTATGATTTCAAGTACATAAACGTTATTGTCAGTTCTTGTAAATCATAATTTTTTTAAATAAACCTAAAGTAGGTTATGACCGCCAGAAATCGCAGCATTGTCGTCTGGTGTTCTAGACCTGCATTTTAGATTTATACGGTTTCTACACAAAATTGCTCTTGTTTTACACAGTTCGATAAATCAATAAGGTTATAGAATGTCATTAATTTTATTTCCGTATCTGATGTCACAATGACTACATTGTGTTATTATTTCACAAAATCTCATTTCCCATGAAATATCTTATTTCAAGCAATAACAGCTCTCTGTCTAATAGATGAGCAATCAAATGACTACAAGCCGAAGAAATGGAAAATTTGAATGAAGAGCACCAAAATAAATTTTGATATTTATGTCGAACTCGAAAACCAAGGAGAATTATAAAAAAAACTGCAGTAAGGAGAAATTGATTTTGTCATTCTTTGAAATATCAAAATGCGTCCAGTGCCCTACTCCAGAAAAGTAATATTGATTTTAATCAAATAGAAGATGCGAAATACCTAACTCCCTGTATAATGAATGAATTGGTATGTACATGTTTTTCATGCACATTCACTATGGTAAATTGCCCTACGAATTTCTCAGCAACCTTTGAAGGATTTCGAAACATTGAAGAATATTTAGAAATAAAAATGTTGTTCAGTTTAATTTAATCGGTCTATTTTGGTCTCTAGTTAACTCTTTAGAATTCATGGTACGTTGTTCTGGAACACCTTGTATATCATTCAGTTATACTAAATCAAAACTAAATAAAGGTATTTTATATGAAATTTATTTTTAAAGATTCAGGAATACACTGTGTAGAAGATAAGAATAAACAGCATGGGGATCTCGGAAACGGTAGGAGATACGAAATCGGTTGACTTAGAGAAAAGTAGCGCATTTATGTGCCTGAAATAAGCCATTTACAAAGCTATAATATCCCGAGTAGTTTCGGAGATATCCGAGAAAAACCGAAATTTGAGAAGTTCGTTTTTATTTTCGAAGGAAATTTTAATCAAATAGAACTTTGCCATGGCAACTTTTCAAGGACTACACATGATAACGTAAGCAGGTTTTTTTCTCCGACGTTTCTTCCTTTTGAAAACATCATCAGCTTGATATTTTTATAACCTGTATACGACTCCATTTTTCATTGTGTTTCACACAATATGATCTCAGAACCATTTCTCGCAACAAATGAGAAGTGATTACTCCACCGGTTTTCTTCAATTTTAGTAATCACTTTTCATTTTGTGCGAGAAATGGTTCTGAAATCATATTGTGTGATATATTGCTGTATGCACAATGGAAAATGAAGTCGTGTAAAGGGTATACTTTATTTTCGGCTCATATAAAAATACAAAGTTGATGATGTTTTCGAAAAGACGAAACGTCGCAGAAAAATTCTGGCCACCTTATCATGTAGTCCTTGAACGGTGACCACGGCAAAGTGGTATTCGTTCTACATCACCTTCGAAAATGAAGCTGAGAAAAAATAGAAACGAAATTTTAGAATTTCGATTTTTCTCGGATATCTCCGAAACTACTCGGAATATTATAACTTTGTAGATGGCATATCATTAGGCACATGAATGCGCAACTTTTCTATAACCTAGCCAAATTTGTATCACCTACCGTTTCCGAGATCCCCATGCTGTTCATTCTTATCTCGGACACAGTGTTTTTATGGAAAGTTGATATGGATCAAGTGAACACTCTCAAAGGAGAAAAAGTGATTTCTGCCCTGCATTGCGGACAGTTGTGGATCTTTCCATCATCAGAAACAATGGTCACTCCACACCGCAATCGCCTCCTAGGAGTTTTTGAGAAACGTTTGATGCATTCATCGCATGCCGAAAGGTGGTTGCAGTCTCTGAATAAGTGGGTTCTCGCACCACTGAGGCATACGACACACGTCGCCAGCCTCGCCATCTCTCTTTCTCTTTCCGGTCCTAGAAAGAAATTAATGAAAATAATGAATTGTATTTTCTCCAATAATATTCTTCAATTTCTCAGGATTGAATAAAAAAACACATGAAAACTACCATAGACACCATGAGACCATGAGTATAGTCTTGAATCATCAGATGGCTCGATGCAAACAATCCACCCTGAATATTACTTTGATTAAAAATAAAACGCATGAACACGTTGATATCCATGAACATAATATCTTGATGCAATTCTATATTCAGAGTTAAGTTCACAATCAAAGTGTTTTTTTGTCCTTCCTAATGTTCCTATGAAGCTATTTTGTAATACCTTGTGTCTCATCAGATGTTTGGTTGATGTTGACAGTTTCAAATTCAGTGTCTCTCTCTGAAATCAAAAATAAAACCGCAGTGTGAATATAGCTAGATTCCAAAATAACACTCCTTAAAATCCAATATCACAACCCACAAATTGTGTTGAATAAGTTTACTATATTATGGTTCGAAAATATTTTTTCCTACGACCACCTATGAAAACAGCACAAAACACATTGATTTGTTATTGAGAAAGTGACTCGTAACAGTTAGAAAGTTAGAAAGTAAAACTCACATGGGTGAAAATATTCGAATATCGCACAGTAACAGGGTCTATAGATTATGATGTACCAATGAATGATTATTATGCTGAATTATGGTAAGTTAAGTTATTGTCAAGTTAATGGAAAGTTAGTGTCGATTTAACATGAGTTATTGTCGCTAATGTTGACGTAATGTTAAGTTAAAAGTTGAAATCAAGTCAATTTCAATTGAAAGTTGAATTAATGTCCATGTATTGGCAATTTAGTGATTAATGTGAAGTTAATGTCAATTTGATATTGAGTTGATGTTAATTTGATTTTGAAAGAGCTTTGTAATAAATAGTCGTTTGAAAAACTATAATGAAACTCGCTACTATAGATAGCCAAACTCGAGGCCAAAAGCAATAGAAGTAGAAAATTGATAGTATAGTTTAAAAAACAAGTTCGATTGTCGCGAACTATAAAGATGTAGAAAATTAAAATAGTAGTTTGAAATACTGATGAAACACGATTTCATGGATATCCAAACTGAAACGAAGTTCAAAACGAAATAATAAAAGTGTTTTGATGTATATTTAACCATTTTCTAGAAGAAAATTTATATATCAAAACAACGTGTGCCAAAAGTAGTAGAGAATAAGTAGAATTGTTTAAAAAACTGAAGAATCCCGTTTTCATGGATAGCCGAACTAAAAAGAAATAGTGTACAAAACTCGTTGAAAGTGCATTACCTGCGCTCGTTTCGTTTTCGCACTCGCCGCTATACGGCTCGTGCTAAACGTCCAATCGCGCGAAATATGTCACTTTCCACACTAGTTATGTAATATACTATTCCACCCTATACCCACACGCAATTTAGGTTGGGAAGTGTCATTTTCCCGCAATAGTACGGGAAAAACATTCATATAATATTCTCGCAAAATATGTGTCCCGACAAAGGTTACTCGGATTTGACAGAGTTGCAAATAGAGGTGTCTCATCAGGAACCCTGAATGAACAAAATTATCGAGCTTGAAATTTTTTAGATTTTTATGAATGATAAGGAATATTCTAACCTGTGTTTTCTTCTGTTGGCTGCATCTGATCTTGATGATCAGTTGCCCGGGTCCTCTCTACTCGTTCAATGGCTATAGGAGAAAATATTGATATTATTACCATAGATAGACTACAGAGTTCAGTAATCTTTGTTATTACCGTAGCCTAATTTAACATTAAGTTTGATGACTACTCACTCCTGTTCACAATGCCTTCAATATCATTCATGTCTGGAATGTCTTTTTCAATATCTGAAAATATAAGTAAAATATCTATACCTTCACATCCAATGAAATCAGTTGAGAACTACTGTATGCGATTTTTTATAGGTTTATTGCCATATGATAAAATTTTGAACTGGTTCACATAATGATTGTCTTTTTGTTTCCTTTTGATCAGAGGCACCATTTTCGATTTGAATACAACAATCCAAATAAATGATGCGCATCGTAGAGAAACTATGTTCGACATGATTTTGATTTGGAGTCGATTGCATGAGAATGAATCAGAACAAAATTACAAAAAAAATTCGACATGAAAATATCGAATATGATATATTATACATGATTCCTATAATGTTATATTTTATGTTTGAATTTATCTCACAAGAAAATGGTGCAACTAATCGAAATTGAACGAGAGTGCCTTTTTATGTAAAATGATCCAAATCGTTGAAATAATTGCATATAAATTCATGGAAAACATCTATCACAGCCCCACTCTGTGATATGCCACCGCATGAAATTTCAATTGATATTTGCTTTGCCGTAATTGGCGCAATGTGTTCAAATGAAATTATGCAGTGCGCACTACATGTAACGGATAAATTCATTCTACAATATTCTCCATTTTCAAGAGAAACTTTGAACAGGTCGTTTTGTATTTTTGAAAATACACTCTGTGACATGAAAACAGTTCCCCCTCCTTTACCCTTCTCAACGTGACAACCACCCCCAATTTTTTGAAACGAAATAGGGGGGTAAGTGATACGTCTTTTTGAATAAGTGTATTCAATTGGCTATACAGCCATATAACTTTTTTTGAAATTTCCTTCATGCGTAACTTTGAAATTTTTAAAATTTATCACGTTTACTATTAAACTCTCTGTATATTTGATGCACCTTCATTTTCTCTGATTCATTCACAAACAATTGTTTTTCAGACGTGATAGTAGTGTGAAATATTGCATGGCCGTTTTGAACTTGGAGAAGAAAAACAGTTTCACAGTTCCTGTTTGTGTTTCTTAATCAGTATTATTTTCATAAAATGACCGAAAGTTCCAGCAATATCTCATTTGACTGATATGGCTGTATAGGCAGTTGGGTAAACACACTTCGAAATGAGGTATCACTCAACCCTCTATTTCATTTCAAAAACTTGGAGGCTGGGTTGTCACATTCAGGAGGAGGATGGAGGGGAGTTTTTTATGACACAGAATGTCTTTTCTAGAACATAAATCGACGTGTTTCAGGGTTCTTCTTGGAAATAGCTATAATAATGTAGAAAATGAATTCACTCATTACATATGGTGCGCACTGTACATATTACAAAACTTTGAAGAATATCTTGCTTCTCCTTAGGTGACGTATGGAGTCTGTTACAAAGCCTACGCATGAGACACGTTTCGTTAGGTCGATGGTCAGTTTGTGTGTACACAGACACAAACAAAGTAACTACATTACACAAACTTTGAATTCCGAAAATTCGTAATTTTATATAACGGGTTGGCCGATTTCAAAATAATTAAAAAAGTAATCCAAAATCTTTACATTCACACTTTTTAATCTTCCATATTTTGAAGCGCATGAAAGGAAACCCCGGTGGTCTTAAGTTTGTCACCACCTTTTGCATTTTATTATTGATTAAGATTTGCAAAATGGGTTTTGACAAGGGACGGCAGTCAATATGTCTGGAGAGCTGAGACGTGGGTTGATTGTAGGCTATTAAGCAGTCTTCTTCATTTTTGAAATGGGCGCCACTTAAATTTGATGTATATCAAAATAAGAAATTAAAACAGTGTGAAGTTTAGTCAAAATATAATTTATTCACTCATGATAGTACCCAAATGTATGTGATGGTTTTCATACTTTTCAAAGATGGTAAATTCCAATAGAGGGATGATTTTATATGTCCTTGCATAGACATCAACTAAATCAAATGCTTAGTGAGACCCAATGGTTACCGCGTGCAGCTGCATAGGGTTGACAAGTGCCATTGTGTATTACAACTCTGTTGTGACTTATATACTTTGAACTACCTAAATCTTATATAAAGCCTTCAAAAGGACTAACTTTGACCAGAGATTAAAATTATATGTGTGATCATAACCTTACTTCACCCCTAAATGGAAATAATAGTGATTATACTAAATTATATGACAGACAAGAATATTGGTGAAATTAAATCACATAACCCCAAATAAAAGTATAAATTGGATCGAGCTCACCGGGACTTGGATCATTGACACCCAGAATCACCTCCTCTGAACTCCAGGAACCTCTTACACCAAAACACCCTGGATGGTGTCACCAGGACAGGGTAACTTCAATATCCTCAGGGGACGCCTGGACCTTGTCTCAGACGCCATCTTGAGTTCACAAGTTGCTTTCTTGAAGACGTCAGAAGTCCACGTCGCAGGATCGTCTTCGATGCACCAGTATCCACCAACAGTGCGCGTTTCTTTCCGTCGATCTGTCCATCCACGTAGACGCTGCTGTTATCACGCCGTAGGGATGCCACAATGATGAGAATGTCTTGAGAATGACGGGTCGAAGCTGCCCCCTCGAAGTCGACCCGTTCTAGTTTTCCTGCGGCTGCGTGGAAGATGATCCTTCCTCAGCAGCCTGTTTCACACGTTTACAAGCTCTTCGGGGGTGGCCCAACTCCCCGCAATTCCAACAACGTACCGGTCTTCTCTTCTTATCCCAGAGGCCCTGGATGGCGTTGATTGAGGCTTCAGTAGGATCTTGCCTGGTATTTTCCACTATGTTTCCGCTGTCGTTCATTGCTCGGACTCTCGCTGATCCTTGGGAAGATTCTGCTGCGGCCTCGATCTCAAGCGCAGCTTCCAGAGCACAGGTGAGGTCTTTTGGTCGAGTCAGGCGAACTGCTTTCTGCATTTCGATATCCCGCAATTCATCCACGAACGTTTGAACAGCTAGACATTCCATAAGGGACTCTGGGGCTGACGGATAGGCACAGTGGACCAATCGGGCTACATCCACTTCGAATTCTTGAAGACTCTCGTTGGCTCTCTGTCGACGGCTCTTCATTTGTGATTGAAACACTTGCTGCAGATGTTCATGGCCATATCGCATGTCGAGACGTTTGACGAGATGATCGTAGCTATCGACTCCGCCTTCCGGAATGGCTTGCAAGATGTTCAATACATCACCCCGTAGAGCTACT